TTTCGGAACGTTTCCTATATACCGTATTTATGCGAATCTAATGCGCATCCCCATTTTAAAACTTTAAATAATAAAAAAATTGTTTGTCGGCGAATGTAATGCGCATCAATGGTATTGAGGAATTTATTGAATCTTATTTATACAACAATGGATTTGTATATAAACTATCAATCAAATGGTATGATAATTTTATTTAAATTTAGATACCATATTTATACAACAATGGATTTATACATAAAGTAACAGAACATAGAATTAACCTATTAGTGGGCTAGTTGTTATGTGAAACAATCATTGTTAATTACCACTACCGTATATACGGTACATATCGTAAAGTATGAACATGAAATAAATGGTAACATTTCTATCTAGCTAACAGTTTCTACAATCAGTGATTAATAGTAAACGTCTTTATTCACTATTTTGATGATAACTTTTTAGTCCCTTTCTCCGTAATGGTGTAGTTACGAGACATATCAAACCCCAAATTGGCGTCTCGTCAGCGTTGCCAATTTGCCCCATTGAAAAATTCTTTTCCTTCCGAAGTGTGATGACATACCGCTAAAATGTTAGTAGTAGTTTTCCCTCAAAATCTGCAGGAAGCTTTTGGCATATTGTCGTACAGCGTCTTAGAGATAAACCCATCCGCTTCATAAACCGATCCACCCATCGACGGCTAGCTTTAAACTCTCGTTTCGGTATTCCAAGAACTTCAGCCTCCTCTTTTGCTTTATTTCTTATAGTGTCGCTAGTCACAGGTTGTCCATTCTTCCTCCTTTCACGTAGAAATTCCAAAACGTTTTCTTCAATTTAGGGTGTCTTCCTTTGCGAGGGCCAGTGAATTCTTTCTACTAGTTTTAGTTGCAAAACAGTGCCAATTTCTGTTGCCGCCACAAGCGAACATTGCTCTCAGCTACGTTGAACTCTCTCCCAGCCTTTTATTGCCATTTCTTCAGGATAAAGAATTACTTTACGTTTGAAAGTAGCGTCATATGACATTCTTCTCTGCTTGCCTCCATTTCGTGACTACGTACTCTGCAGTATGCAATAATGTGTCAACGATAAATGTAACGGTAAATGTAGTCGAGAAATACAGTAATCCATTGTTACGATTTAAATTCGGTTGACGTCATCGGCGAACTGCTGACGTCATCGGCGAACTTTGCACTCGAATCTAATGCGCCATCGAATCTAATGCGCACCCCAATTTTGAGTACTACATTTGGCCAAAACGATTAGATTCGCGTAAATACGGTATAATCTGGACAAATCCATCGGTTCAAACTTATTTTTTATAAAAGTAATGGTAATTCGAATGAATGGAGCTGTTCGAAACCCTCTTCTGAACTACACTGAAGTGGCATTGAATTACGGATAGTGAGTCAATAACGAGTTGGGCCTACTGGGGCTTTGATAACGACTGCCACACGACGAGGCATAGATTCAATAAGTTTGCGGAATGGTTTGCCAAACATCAGTTAGAGCTGTCCATAATTCAGGAAGGGTCGCTAACGTTCTGTGAAGGGGTTTCATATCTTTATCGAAAACAACTCAGAGGTGCTCAGTAGGATTTAAGTCAGGGCTAATTGGTAGCCAATTATGACCGAGAAGTCAAACTATACAGCCAAGCAGTAGTCAACTAAGACCTGTGAAAGGTGCAGTTATCTTAATGGAATACTCCATTTCCGTGTGAATGACAGGACAACATAAATAGATGAAGCTGACTGCCCAGCAACTCTACGTATCAAATCATATTGAGGGAGGCTCGTACAAGTACCAGAGATCCCAAACACTGCCAAGAGGAAACACCGCAGACCATGATTGAGCCGCCATGGCCTTGCACCGCCATGGCATGCAGTATCCATTCTTCATGAGCCTGACGCCATATTCTCAGCCTACCGTCGATGTTAATAGTCAGAATAGAGATTCATCACTCCATGCTACTTGTTTCCAGTAATCTAGAGTCCATTCTCTCAGTTCTCTTGCCCAGCCAAGACATACAACTCGATCTCTTGCATTGAGCAATGGTATTCTCGTGGGTCTACGGCTCCCGAAGCTCATTTGGGAAAGCAAGCATTGCAAAGTCCGTTTACTGACTATACGACTGGCGCCCTCATTTAGCTGCGTGGTAATTTGAGCTAATGTTTGCCTTCGCTGGCTATGAACAATATGGCTGAGCCGTCTCACATCATGCTCATTCAGGGCTAATTGCGCTTTGCAATTTGCGGAATTGCTAATTTTTCCCCACAATCCTTGGATTCTTGGTATACCCTTGAAACAGTCGACCTAGAAATTCATAGCCCTCTGACGATTTCGGAAACTGAATGGCCCATGCGTCAAACACCTACTATCTGTCCTCGATCGAAGGCGTCTAAATCAGAAGTTTTACCCATACTGAAAAATGAAACGACGGATTAACAACAACCATATTATTAGCTATATATACAATTACCGCAACGCCCTCACGTCAGCATAAATGCGGCGCAGCGTAACACAATTTGCATAGTCATGTCTATCCTTAATTCAGTGGCACTTCAATGCATCTTTGCACTTTACTCACATTTTCAAACTCCGGAATTGCTAATCTGTAGCATTCCGAGATCATTTTCGTTGCTCAAACTTTATTCTGCCTACTCCGTTATACCAAAATGGTTGAATTTCAAAAGAAGGAAAATTAAATGAGTAGACAGCTGCTGAAGTATGTATACACTTTTTGAAACACCTAGTAGTGTAGGTAAAACAAAAGCGCCCGCACTAAGATAAAACATATTGTAAATATAGGCAATCATCAATATAATTAGAATATAAGAAAAGGAGAAATTATATTTCTTATTTAAGGCTTTGCGAAAGAGTGAATTTATCAATATCCGTTTATTGATCGATAGTGATTCGTCGATATATTTATCAACTTAATTTCTAAGTAGTTCTGAAGTTTATCTGGTAGAGAATATCTAAGTTTAGCTAAACATATCTCTCGGATTCCCACTCCGATAGACTTCTTCTAACGTTAAGTAAAAGTTCAGATGTATACAACGACATTATCTACTATTGTGCATTTGCATCATTCTATCACTGATGCATGAAGTGACGTAAGAATCTTCTACGTTGATGAATGTGTATATAAAAATAATTACTCGGATACAAACGTGTATTGTAGCCATTCTGATCTCTTTGAACATGCTGTGCCATAATTTGTAAGCAGCAACAATGCATTTATATGTTTTCGTTTGTTGATTGATGTCATTAAATTGTACTGACAAAGTACGTACTTTTTTTATCCATTTAAATTATATTTTTTTACTCATATCTTCGACATTTTCCTTAAACGTTTCAACAAAATGTCGCGCATCAGATCCTATTCTGCAAAATGTCAGACCGTTAATTTAGCTTTCGAATTTCACCAGTGTTTATTACTTGGGAAAAAGAACGATTTAAAAGTAACATATGCATTTCTTAATAAATAAAATCTTTATTTTATTTTTTTTAAACCGAATGGCCCTAGATAAACCGAACACAAAGCAAATTAAAAGGTATTTTATGTTAAAAATTCTTTGTGATTTGGATCCGTACTCTTCCTTCTCACTTTCGTTAGCTCTAACAAGGATGCAAATAAGATTAAAGAGTATTTAAATATAGGGTTATGGATGCTTTTGTATGCAGAACTTTTGTAGTATTTTTGTAGTTTTTGTATGTAGAACTTTTGTAGATTGTAGCTTTATTTCCTACCGCCCATCTTTGACAATTAATGTTCTGGCATTAGACATTTTGCAGCCGAAGTTAAATAGCGCCATTAACGTTTGAGCCAGCTTAGTTAGGCCAAATCTATGGTTTTAGAATACAATCCCTTTTTAAATTGTAAATTTAATTTTATGGATATTTTAGAACCCACAAGTGGCAGAGTTTTGAGTGCACCCACAAGATGTGCCTTTTATTCAATTCAAGATGAAGTAATTAGGTTTCTTTAAAAACCTTCCTAAGACTTAGTCGCGTATTTTCAAACGGAGCGATAATGCGCTTGACAGTCTAATAAAGTCTGAAGAACTTTGAGTTTATAGTACACAGCTAGGGCGCTAAAAAGTGAAAAACACAACTGCAAGGTGATGTTATAAAAATAAATCAAACCGGACATGGGAGACTTCACTTGCTTTGAGCTCAGTTTATCTTGGGCTATAATATGCCTTATAATATACCCAGTAATTATAAAGTACCTTAAAATCATCGTTAAAATTAATAAAAGACTTATTTCCAAACCTCGTGTATTAAGTGCATACAAATATCTTATATTCTTCTATAGAAATATATCATTTGTTTTGTTAAAAACAATTAATTACTCTTTAATAAAAGCAAACCTTCGCGCTAAGGAAAAAACTTTTCACTTAAAATTGAGGATTTAAAAATAACTCCCTTTATCACATTCACTAATTTTCACTTAGAAAAACTTTCTGGTGATGCATCATAGGCTCCTGTTAGATCAGCTAATTTGTTATTAAATTATTTTACTGAATTTGTTTTATTATTTATTTATCTATTCATTTATTGAATGGAATAAAAAAAAGTGTTTTAAACAATAATTTTTAAGGAATATTGCACAAATTCGTATTAGAAATAGTCAGCTTTCTTATAAGTATTTTCATAAGATATAAGGGTATTTTCTCTTGTCTTTCCTCTGATGTCTTCATGGTGTAACTGGAAGCATACTTGACGCGTGGTCCCAGCGAGAGCATTACATATTTTTATTGTCTCTTTCTTCAATATACCTAATGACTTTACAAGATTAATTCTTAGATCAGTTTGAAAGTTTACTGATCTCCATCAAGAAGGTATATTTAAATAACTCCATCAAGAAGGTAAATAGCTCACAAAAACATTACTTAAAATTTATTATTTCTGATAGTCAATAAACCTGCTGTAGTGATGAAAATTTGGTATTTTAATGTCAAGAAAATAAATAAACTTAATGCTTGTGCTTCAGAATGTAATTAAAAATCTCTTTATTCCAGAAGCTTGAGTAAGGTTCCACGAGTAAGGCACTTTCTTCAGAGTAAAACAAGAGAGAATATAAAATTAAAATACTGTAAGTTAAATAATGTCAATATGATTAAGAAACTGTTTTCTAAACAGTTTCTAATTTGTTTTCTAATTTAGGGATTATCCAAAAGTATTAAAATTTGTCTGCGTTTTGATTTAATGTAATTGTTCAACTTAATTAATTTGTTTTTTCCTGTAGGTTGAAGAACTCACCACAGAACAAGTACAAAGTATGTATTTTTAATTAAAATCACATCTTAGTCTTTCTATGATTTGAATAAAATTTCAGTTTAGTTTAAAATATTTCCTTCCTTAGTTTGTATTATGTTTTATTGAGTTAAATGTTCTCTGTTCACGTGTTTACTGTTGAAAATTTTGTTTGGTTTCATTTTCCTGTTCGGTTTCGATAAAGCGTAGTGTAAATTTAATTGAATAGTTATTTCGTTCATTAGATTTCGTTATATATATTCTACATATTTCGTTCATTAGAGGTCTCTCAATAAACAATAAATTTCATAAAAATCTCGCTGATTGCACTCTTAAAACGCGTTTTTTATACATTACACCGCCATTGCTATAAATCTCCCTCACCAAATAAAATGGAAAAAATAAGAAGCATTAGAATTTAAGCTTTTGGTTACATATATTTTTCTAAACTCTCTTTAACATCCTTATTGTTTTTAAATGAATGGCGAAAAATAATTGAAAAATATTCAATTATTGATACCTTGAAAATTTTCAAACAGTTCAATTATTATCATTTTATATTAGATTAATTCTTAGAAAGTTTACCATGAAAAGAGTTATTTTCCTAATTGAAGTCACGATTGTTTAACTGTTTTATTTTTGCTTTTTTTCTACTATTTTCTTGTTGCTCAAGTAATATTGAGTAAGATGATTTATAGCGACACTTTATATCAGAGTTAGAATTAAAAAAAAAAAAAAATAAGAACAACTTTTCGTTGGCTAAATAAACCACGAGCATGGTGATAATTATCCAAATATATATTAAAATTCAATTCTTAAAAACACGTTAGCCTAACAAAAGTGTTTTAGGAAGCATTTTTGCGAAACCGCTGCGTTTCGACTTAATGCATTAAATTACGAATGGTACTTGCTTTACATAAGATTAATAACTTATGCACTTATGATATAAATAAGCCCATCATACGTTGGAATGCATATCTAAAATCGCGCAAAAAATGCCTAATCAACAGAACTCATCGTTTAGCTTAATTTATTTAAATGCTTTTAGCAGATATGTATAAACCCACAGCTAAGAACTGAAAACAAGCTTATTGGACAATACTTTTTCTTTTAAATTTTAGTACAATTTATTGAATATTATACTGAAAGTGAGAACATAGTATACGAGTATTTAACATTTATGTACACATAACCTGCATAAACGCTCTGGCACCATTCTGTTAGCTTTGCGAGTGTTGGGGTTATTGTAATTCCTACAGCTAGCTCTGTGGATTCTAATTATTAGGTTCCATTGCACTCCTTTCCAGAAGAAAGAGATGGAAGTGATATTCCTAGATTCATGCAAACAAAAGCTCAATTGCATTTAACTTAAAACTTAAATGAGCTGTACTTGAAAGTTAACAAAATAATGTATAGATAACAGTCCATTTGACAAGGCTAAAATTCATGATTCACTTTTACTCTGAGAGGAAACAGAATTCTAAAGTTCCTCAGACATCAAACAACTGTAGATAGAAAATATGCAAATTTTCACAATGTTAAAGAATGTTTTAAACCCTTAATTAAAATGATTTTCTGTATGAAGAGAACGCTAAAATGAACAAAGTTTTCCATTTCACTCATTTCTAATCACATTTCAGTCTTTTTCAAAACATCCCTTTCGAATAATTGTGTCTATTATAGAAAGATTGCTTGTATTTATGCAGCATCGTATCTAATGCAAAAGTGACTTTTTAAGTTTTAACTTCAAACAAATTTTTATTAAATATGTGCAACTTTCAGATCATCGTAAAGTTGATTAATTGACATCAAAACATACTACTATCACTTGTGAGCATTTTCCCAATAACTGAAGAGATTCTTTGCTTGACTGTAGTAGTGACATAACATATTTTCTGTCTCCTTACCAAATGCACGTAATTGGAAGCACGTCGGGCTAACAGTTAAGAGGTCCGGATTTCGTATGCCAACGAAGGCCCTGTTTATTTTTATATTTTCGGCTCTGAAATAAACATAATGACTCTATAGTATAAATGACTTTCAAATTTAATTGCATTAAATACTTACACGCATCTATATTATTCTCTGCAGAAGAAAACGGAGAAAATTTAGATTTTTCTTTTTAATAGTATAGATCCACATAAAGAACTTAATATTAAATAAATATGAAAAAAATTAATGGAACATTTGTATCACCGATCAAAGTTCCATTTCTGTTGTTATGGGGGCAGTAGAAACTAAATCCAAAATTTAAACGAGGTCAGAATCTTAATCTGTTGCATTAGCACCGACAGTGAATGCTGTTTCCTATTTCAGAAAATGAGGTTATTCAATGAAAATGCATTTTACATTGGTTATAAAAGTCCTAGGCCAAAAATGTCACAATGTTCAAAACATAAGGGTAAATTAGTATGCAAAATACCCTTTCACAGAATCCAACGAATCAACTTGATACAATTTGCATAGCTAAAATTTACCTAAAAAAAAGTTAATGAGTGTGAAAATTTCCAATTCTTGCGAATAAGATCATAACCTGAACCTCAGAAGCAATATAAAAGCAAACGAGCATGTCAGACGAACTGTGATTGTCAGAAAAATTCTATACATAACAGATTAAATCTAAATGCATGAAATTTTTGTCGTGGCTTAAAGACATAATATCGATAATTTTACATTCAAAAGGATTGCATAATAAATGGAAGAAAGCCTAACTGTCGCAGCTGCAACAGAGTTTGGTAATGCGTACAAGGCTTTAGGCAGTTTATCAAATGACTAGAATGCATTCCAGATGCATATGACTTACATAACAAAGGATAAGAAAAACAATATTTAATGGTAACAGCTGAATGCGATCTACGCTTCACCGCCAACCAACCAATGAATATCTTCTTTATTGGAGTACAGTTTAGTGTGGTGTCAGATCCGCCTAAGTGGACGATCTAGCATTGTATCAAGGTCTTGTTTTCCCATGAAGTCAATTTAATATGCAGGCGGATTCCTAATGCCATTTCACCTGACGTAAAGGAGTAAAACGTACCAGCAAAGTATTAAAACGGTCGAGAACACTATCGCTATGGCGGTACTGAAAGATGGTGTCGAACAGCATCACAGTTGAGGACATCTTGAGGTACAGGTGCTGGATAATGGTATTATGGCGGGCGACTTTTATTGTAAAGAGGTTAATGAATGCCATGTTTGCTTTTTTACTAGTATCACTGGCAATACATTTCTTTTTATGATGATAATATAAAGCCTCATTGAACCTCATTATTGAGAACCTCCTAGAGACTGGTCTGCTTGCTCACCAGACCTTATTTCCATTAAGAAAGAAATGTTATAGCGATACTAATTGAGTCTCGCAATGTGCTAAGTTATATATAAGGCCCAATTTCTGCTCTAAAGAAAGAATAAAACAATCTATCACAGGAACTCTTAATTACGTGCTAATATGGGGGTGGGGTGGCATGACGTCGTGATTACTGCTGCTTCATTGCAATTCAATGTGATTGTATTTCAGACTGAGAAGTATTATTAAGTAATTTTCATCCATTTTTAACGTATAATCAAATTCAAATGTAACATTTTCGCAAAATGATTGGGTAGTATTAATTTCATATCTTATTTCCAACTTCTTTTTATTACTATTTTGTGTTAGATGTTAAAAAATGAATAGCTTTTCATATTTTGCCATTAATATACAATTTTCGTTACACAAGTTAAACTAGAAATCATCTTTAGAGGGACTTCAATAGATGAAAAGGTGAAATTACCTTTTTTTTCCAAATTCATGCGAAAAATGTGTTTTAATACCTTTACTACGCTGAGAAAAAATTTTGAAATAATCTGACGATAATAAATGGCGTAATAAAAGACGATAATAAAAGACTTTAGCAGCCCTTTAAATGCCGCATCCACCTCAGAGTTTATTTTCTTTTCCTTCTTAATTGCCTCAGTTATTTTTTTTTAAATCAGTGTTGAAGAAGAGGAACGTAATTAGCTGTGACTGCGACTATCAGCAGACTCTGTTCATGTATGCAATCTGACTGATTTTAAACAAAGAGTGCAGTTCAAATTCTGTTTTTAATTTTTTAACTTTTAGGCTGCTTTTTTTAATTCTTTTTTCTTCTTATTATTTTTTTTTTACTCAGCTCAAACTATTTCTATGTGTACTTTCAGCCCATTTTGTTATACTTCTTCAGTTATATAAATTACTTGTGACAGACATGAACAAAAAGAATTAATGGAAGCGATCAAGTTCCTGAATGTCGAAATTCGTCGTGGAACAAATAAACAACTTAATGAATTAAAATACACCTAAATTAATTATAAACGAAATTTGTATAAAAAAAATTGGCTAAATTACGAGAAGAAATTACGTATGCTGCTGGGCAGCTTTAAATAAAATGTTTCTGTGACTGTTCACATTTCAAATTATACTTTAAAAAAATGAATTAAACAACAAATTAATATAATTAATATTGATTATAATTTTTTATAAAAAGTATTTTGATTAATATATATATTAAAATTGTTTCGAACGTGGTTTGCAAAACAAAAACAGGTAAAGAACATTCTGCTTACATTTTATGAAATTCCATCAGTACTTTGGCCATGTAAAGTTTCAAATAAAAGCTTGTAATTTATAAGTACATTCAAGAATCGAACAGTAATAGATTTAATTTTAGATATATTGAAATTCAGTAAGAAAAAATTTTTAAAATGGAAATATGTTAATGACAGTTTAAGGTTTACATTCTTTAAACTGCGTTTTCTCAATCTGTATTTTTTCGATAAATCCTTTTACTCAAAGTCCTGAAACTTTCACAGGCATGGATAAAGTTGTTTAATATACTTACTGCATGTTTATTATTATTTACTTACCAGGTATAGGGTTTTGCAAAATACTGAAAAGAAAAGCTATTGGAAATGAAAATGTAATTAAAATCGTAGGTTTTTTTATCCCTCTAAGTGTATTTTATAATATAAGTGTATAAGTGTATTTTTTAATTTTTTTCCTCAGTAC